TTTTATTTCAAAGATCGGCCAATCAAATGATAATTTTGTTCCAAAGAGTTAACATGTATCCCTTTTAGAATTTAATAGATATTATAAAGCTTTAGGTAGTCTCAAGTGTTAATAAATTCCTCTAAAGACATGTTTGAGGCACCCTTCACACTACTGTCGTGATCAAGCAATGCACATATTATGATATAGCTAAATCTTGTTCATCCATTTGACACAATGATTCATGGCCAAACCGACTTGAATGATATCACATACTCAAACGACAAAGCTCCACCCATACACGCTTTTAGAACCGAGTTAAACGAGCAAACCATTCAAAGACATGCTTTTGCTCGGCCGTGGCTAACTTGACATCCCCAGTTAGGACATGATATTCCACATTCATGCCTTGTAACATTAGTCTCAATTGGAACTCAATATCTCAGCTCACAACTTTATCTCAATGCATTGAGTCTCATTCCCATCATGATATGTATCAAATAAATTCCCTTAATTCATTAACACGTTCAAACTCCCTACTAGTAAACAAGACCCTTCACAACTATTTGAAACATGTAACTTGAGCATCGGATTCCAACCTTCTTTTCTTTCTTTTCGCTCCTTTTTTGAACTTTTATTTTTACTGTTCTGAGAAGTTTGCATCTTGTCAAAAAAAAAAAAATATAGCAAGTTATACCGATACAGAAGTTCTCTCTAAAAAAATTTGAACCCAAATTAATATTTCCTGCAAAACATAGAGTTCATCCCAGGATAAAATAAGTGGCAGAAGACCATTGCCGTATAATGCAACAAGTTAATGACTTTCAGGAAGAATATCCATTCAGAACAAAGATCTCTCCCTTTATAATCCTCGGATAACCCGTCGACACATGGCTCAACACAGTTCTGCACAGCTGACTGTAAAATATTGGCTTAGAGATTTATATTCAGCACTGTTTTCCTATACCCACATATCACCCCACAAAAATGATAAACCAAAGCCACAACACAAGGCCACCTTCAAGAGAAGATCAAAAAACTGCCAAAAGTTGGGAAATGGAGGTACTCTCCCTAACTTCCTGTGATCTCCGGTGCAAAAAGGAAACTAATTGTTCAGTAAGTCGGCTATAATTGGCACATGGCAGTAGAGCTGCTGATCTGCAAGAAAAAACCACAATGTCGGGCGGTAACCGGGATGGCCTCAAAAGAGCTGAGGTTGGGGAGGAACTATTATCTACCAGTAAAGAAAGACGAGACAGATTCATCATCTACAGATCTTCCAAAACTATTTCTAATTTGAATATTAGAGAACTTTCAGCTCTAACCGTTCTGATATCAAGTCTGAATTCTTCGACATTGTGTTTTGGTCAACAGTTGGATTAGTGTCAGTCCCCATATCAATATGAGAGATCGAATCTACAGTCACTTAAAGACAGACCACTGATTTTGGTTAACCAAAGAAATCACGACAGAGGAGGGCCAGTAGAATGTAGTGGCACAGAATGAAGAATACTGGGGTTTCTTAAAGAACTAACAGGGCTTTGCATACAATGTAATGACTCGGAAAAAGTTTTCTCCGTAGAAGCCACATTATTTATCTGTTGCAAAGCTTGCCTTCCACGAAAGACGCCCCACAAATAGTACCTTGCTTGAAATCCTGCACATCAATTTGCTTTAGTGCTTTAGTTATGCTGGAAATGGCATTGTTAGATGAATTGCACAAAAATTTGCCAGCAAAGGAGAAGGCGTGCACTCATGAGTTCTTCTACCTCCTAAAATCTAGTCGTATTGTATGGCTACTAGGAGAAAAATTATATACCCAATAAAAACTCGAAAAACTACGACTTCAAACTCAAAGTCATTCCAGATGCGCCTTCCTGATTCTCAATATACCGAGACTGAAATAACAAACTGAAAATTATGGAAAGATTATAAGCGAACTTACTCCAGTACTGCATCGGTAACATGGACGAAGTAAAAACTAAAAGCTCCGCATTCTTCAGCACAGCCTTCATGGCTAGATCCTTGCACATCATTGAATTGACCAGAAGATCAAAAGCCTTTTCGCTACTGCCATAGAGAAAAAAAAGTATACATTTACATTAATCGAAGTAGGGGAGAGAGAGAGAGAGAAATGGAAGTAGAAGCATAGAATTCATTACCTTTCACCTTCTGGAAAGAAATAAAGGGCAATACTTTGATCAGTTGGCCCCACTTTCTCAAATCCTTTGGGCCATATATCACATCTACGAAGTAATTCAACGGAAAGTAACTGAGGTAACAATTTAGCCTCCTCATACACTTTTGAGCATGCTAAGCTAGACATATGGGCAACAAGTACACAAAGTCTGCCAAAACTTTTGTTCCAAAATCTTAAACTTCCCCTGTCATGACCAAAATACCAATTGGACCACTTTATGTTGCGAATTCGATATAAAAAATTAACATTTAGATCTCATTTTGGTCCTTGAACTTTCAAAATGTTCATTTTAGTCTCCAAACTTTCAAATTCTTCTCTGGTCCTAAACTTTAAAAATATCTATTTAAGTCATTTGTCCTTGAACTTAAGAAAAATAACCATTTGTTCTTCAAATATGTATATTAATGTACTAGCGTGAGCATGTACTCAAACTACATAGGTCAAAAATGAATATTGGATAAGTGATTATAAAGTGGTAAAATACATACCAAGGACCATAACCGTTACTTTTTGAAAGTTTAGGAACTAAAATTAATATTTTGAAAATTCCAGGACCAAAATTGTTATCTTTAGAAAGTTAAAAGGACTAAATGGACATTTTGAAACTTCAGGAACCAAAACGGAACAAACCTAGAGTTAGATTTAGAGACCAAAATGAGATTTTAACCAAAAAATTAAACATAAACAAAAAGAAAAGCTCTCACCTCCAGACAGGCTCTACTATAGGCTGTGCAACATAACAGTTGTGTCCTAAGAAATTGGACATGGCAGACGTAGTGGCTTCACTATGATTCGGCCCATCTTCTCGAACAGGCTCTCCCGACCTGCCAGGTGTCATGTCATCATTCTTCTCACTGCACTGCGCCTCAGGTAGTTGAATAGGAGAACAACTTTGACCTTTATGTGCCTCGATTTTTGCCATTGAGCCAATACCTTTATTCTTCTTCTTTTTCACCTTTTTCTTCTTCAGACGTTTGGCAAGCTTTTTCTTTTTAAATTTAACTTTACAATTTATAACTGGCACCATTATTGCCTCACAATCTTCGCAAAACCAAGTAACATACTCATGAAGAATTTCTGGCAATGTAGGTAAGCAATAGCTGCAAGATAAAACGACCAAGAGTCAAGGTCGGAAGTGCAAAATCAATAAATATTCCATATCCTCAATAGAATTTGAAGTCAAATACGTTTCAAATAAGCAAGATTCACTTATTTTGGCAGCATGTCTGCACCAGAAATCTTGACTTTTCAATTTTTTTTCTTAAATATAAAAATACTTCCTTTCATTAAGACAAATGAAATTACACATAGAGGTCGAAATAAGATGGGAAAACCAACACAGGAAAGGGAAAAAGGATCCAGATTACAAAAAAGGAGCCCCACAGGCCACAGGTTGATGTTGAGAATCCATATAAATGAATTAAATTTACCCAACCCATAAGCTTAAGTTTTTGGGTGAGCGGTGGTTCATTCATCTTTAACATGGTATCCGAGCGATGGGTCCTGTGTTCAAACCCCTGCATTGTTGTTTCATCCCCTTTCATATTGATTTCCACTTGTTGGACCTTGTCGATTATCCGAGCCCACAAATGAGGGGGGTGTTGAGAATCCATATAATGAATTAAATTTACCCAACCCATAAGCTTAAGCTCTTGGGTTGAGTGGTGGTTTATTCAACCTTAACAATAATTAAACATAAATAGTAATTACAAAAAAAGTAACCAGATGGAAGACATCAAAATGTGCCGACCGCACACCTATTCTCTCATGACCTATCTAAATTTTCAAAAGTTCTATTTCCTTCCAACAAAGTTAACTACAACGAGGCGAGAGATCAAGCTTCCTGACAATAAGTGCCCTTTTGTCCCGAAATAATGGATGCAAGATGCTTGACACTCACCTTGTCAAGTTAAGCACACAAAATAAAGAGTAAAATCTTTATATACTTCTTTCGTCAAAATTTAGACTCCTTGTGAACACATCCAGACGGCTTTTGTTCTCATGCTCATATAGAAAGGAATTTTTGGAGTTCTATTCAACCTCGAAGAGGTCATCAATTCAGAATAAATGGAACTAAAACTACCCTTTGGAGTTCATGGTTGGAAAGGAGTGCTTGTTTGTTTAATGATAATGAGTGAGAATAAGATCAATATTCTTTTTTTAGGAAAAAGCGAGCATTCATTGAGAAATATGAAAGAAAATACAAGGAGAATACAAAAAACAAGCCCCACAAAAAGAGTCCAATCTATAAATATGCAAAAAGGGACTCCGATCCAAAAGAATAAGACCTAGTTGGTAGTTACAAAAAGTCCAAGAAACGGACGTCCACAAAGAGGTGTCAAATCTAATAACATATCTCTTCCCAGCCTCCCAAGACCTCATTCTAGAATTCTACCATTTCTCTCATCCAAATACCCACAGCACAATAAAAAAACAAGCATAATAAAGGATTTTGCCCTTTATTTCAAAAGGGAGGATTCAAAAGAACCTCCTCCACCCTATAACAACAATCTCTATTCTGCGCCCCAGAAATCCCAAATGACTCTAACAGGGGATCCCAAAGAGCCTGGAAATTGCAGATCCAAAAGATATGATCAAGATCCGCCGATGCTTGCTTACGTAGAATGCACCCCCGTGGGGAAGGACGAGTGCCTCAGAATCGTACAAGTTGTTAACTCTCCCGTGAAAAATCTGCCACGCAAAGAATTTGACCTTGGGAATCTTTACCTTCCCAGGTGAGGAGAAAGGGGGAAGAAGGGACACATGAGATCTAGAACAAAGAACTCGATTGGGGCCCAAAAGCAAAGGTCTCTCCTTCCTGGGCATACTCTCCTTCCTGGGCATATGTGGCAGAGTGAAAGATGGACTGCCACTTCTGCTGCCACCCAATTCGACAAAGGGTGAAGAAAGTCTAAAGAAAAGGATGAAGAACCCAAGGAAGGCAGATAGAGGCCACAGCATGCAACCTTATATCAAAAAGACAATACAAGTGAGGGAACATGGTACAAAGAGGCTTATCCCCGACCCAACAATCCTCCCAAAAATATATATATCAAAGTCTTCCCCAGTGGAACATTTCCAAAACTAAGATAGGGAAACTTGATGAAATATCATTCCAGGGGTTTTTAGAAGCATTCTTAGACCCACAAACCAAAGCCTGCTCAAAAGGGTGCAGACCATGCTTACTCTCAATGATCCTATGCTACAAAGCATTAGGCTCCATAAAGGAGCACCACAACCAATTAGCCAACAAGGCTTCGTTATACAATCTCAGATTACCAATGCCCAACCTAGAGCCAAAGGCCTCAAGACCACCTCCCACCTAACCAAATGAGATCCTCCTCCCTCATCAACTCCTTTCCATAAGAAATCTCTCATGATTTTCTCAAAATCTTTTCAGACCATGACTAGGACTCTAAACAAGGAAAGGAAATAGGTCAAAATACCACTTAAAATAGACTGGATGAGAGTTAGTCTTCCCCCTCAAAAAATAAAGCCTTTTTGCAAGTAGAGGGCGCCCCTTTGACAAGATTCCAAAATGACACTATTCGGATTACTACTCAAAGGAAGCCTGAGTAGGTGGAGGGGAGGCTACTCACCCACAATCCATCAAAAAAGTCAAGAGCTCAGCTTAGAAGGATCTTAATTTATACCAATGATCGAACTTTATCCCCGTTAATCTCAAGGCAAAATATAGATTCAAAGAAATACAGGGGCCATTCAAATCAATGAAAGACCCTTCCTGACTAAAGAAAAAGAAGAGTGTCATCCGCAAACTAGAGGTGCAAAAGATAAGTTATTTCCCTCCCCACCTTAAATCAACCAATAACATCCTTCTCCATTCCTGCTGAGAACGTCGACCACCATAATAAAGAGCAAAGGGGAAAATGGATCACCTTGCCTAAGACCTTTGGAATAAAAAATATTACCCCTAAGTTTTCAATTAACAAGGATAAAGAAATTAACAGACCTTATACAACTCCAATCCAGGATCTCCATTTGAACCCCAACTATTGCTTCCAAAGGACCTTATTAAGAAGTCCCAATCAATGTGATCATAGGCTTTTTGGTGTAATAAGTCTCTTCCTAGTTTTCCATTAACAAGGATAAAGAAATCAACAGGCCTTATACAACTCCAAATCAAAGATCTCCATTTGAACCCAAACTATGTCTTCGAAAGGACCTTATCTAAAAAGTCCATAGGCTTTTTGGTGTAAGGAGTCCCTTCCTAAATACCATTGTTCTTGTAGGTGTTCATTTTCAAATCCTTTTTGTAATTAACCTAAATTGGGCTGGCTGTTCAGAAACACCACAAAGGAGATAATTATTCCAATTATGCAATTTTGTACTTTCATCTATGGAGATAATTATTCCAATTATGCAACTTTGTACTTTCATCTATGGAAATTTCATTTCAAATGTACATATTTTCATAATCATAGCATTCCGTATCCATGTCTTACTTTTTCAGAAAGTGACATTGTCATACCTTTGTTGTTCAAACTCGCATCAGCATTCTCAAAGCAACCTGAGTGACTACCTATGACTATGCTAGATGAAGTTTGCCACCTACACCAGTGGGTGGGCCAAGAAAAGAGTCAAAGAGAGAAGGGATGGAGGGAAGTAATTAAATAAAAATTTATTTATGTCTCAACATATAAATTTTAGTTCATTTAGCTAAAATCTACCATTCTTGTCTTGTCATTGAAAAGGACCTTTTACCGATTATTTATTTCATATTATGCATGAACGCAATCCTCTATTTATAATACAATTACATGGTGGAAGGAATCGGGCCATTCAATTTTCGCAAGTTAGATGGGCTGGAGAGAACCCAACAGCCCAGGATTGTCCTGAAATCTATACGTTGTCCTTGAAGCGAGGGGCACTGTTGCAGTTTGCTAGAAGGAAGATCAGAATGACTGGGATTTGGGTTTGAGAAAAGACCTATTTTATAGAGAATTTGACAGATGGTTGGGGCTAGTGAGCAGATTGGATGCCAATCGGATTGGAGAGGAAGCACGAGCAGACAAAGTGATCTGGTCTCTTCACTCTTCCGGCCTTTTTACAGCAAAGTCAGCCTTGAAGAACCTCTTTGAAGTCACGTCAAAGCTGAAAACGCCCCTGATTTCCCTCATTCGGAGGTATGAGGTCCCAAAGAAAGTTAAAGTCTTCTTATGGTCTCTAGCTCACAGCACTTTGAATACTCAATGGTAGATTACAGAGTCCCGATCTGTCTGCTTATTATGTTATAGAGAGGAAGAGTCCCTAGACAACATATGGAACTGTGCAGCTAGAGCTCTTCTTTAAAGTATTTGGATCGAAAGAAATTTCAGTTTTTAAAGATAGGCCCTCTTCTTGGTGGTGCCATAGACACAGGAAACTCTTTTATAATTTTTGAAAAATCGGGAGTTGGAGCTTTGCTCTCCTATAGGCTATACCTGAGGGCCAAGGGCACCTATACCCCACCTGTCCCAAGACCCGAGCCCAAGAGGCATCAAAAATTTTTTTGAATTAATTTCACCCGAAGGTTCGAACTTGAGACCTCTATGCCAGTATGACGAAAAGACCCCAAACCCTTGCCAAGAATTGCCCCTTGGGGGCAAAAATTCTTTTGTAATTGCAGTCTCTCTATGATTATTCGAGATGGGAGCGGAGAACAATTCTTAAGTGTTTTGGGGAGGGAGTCCCCTCATCCCCTGCCCTTAGGTTCCCTTGTATCCCTTTTTTGTTTATATAAAGGTTTCTTATCCAAAAAAAATATATTTATAATACAATTACCTTTAAAAAAAGTTTTAAAATATGTAAAATCTAATGCCTTTTTGCATCCAGGGAAACAAATGATGCGTACAGTGATGTAATTTTATACCTAAAATACACAAGTTGGTGTCAACTGTCCAGATCTATGAATTCACTCCAAGAGTGTAATAACATTAGACAATTTGATACATTTAACATATACAGAAAACTAATGATCAGTAAGATTTGATTTAAGAAAATAAATAAATAAATGAATCCAATGAGCAGTAATTCATACCGATGGACAGGATAAGCCTGACACTTTTTACAATAATTTAAAGCCTCAACAAAACCCCTATCTCCGCATACCTGACAAATATCAACCTGCAGTACCAAAAGTAGCTATTATTGACAATCCAAGAACCAAACAAACTGCAGAAGTACAAGTGTTCTTCAGAATAAAACATCAGAAACCGCAACCTATTTTCTTCCTCCCCAGTATTTTGTTATCAACAAAGTTACTAAACCACCAATTTAGCAGAGAAAATAAAAGCTAAGGTGTTAGAAGAAAGTAGTCCTATTTCATAACCAATATAAAAGCCTCTCACCCTTTCCCACTTCAATTTGCAATGCATGATAATCTACCAAGTAACCTGCTTGCACGATGTGTATCAGCAAGCAGTTTCAATTATTAAATTTTATGGATCATATAATTTACAATCACTAGTGACTAGAGATACTAATCTTTTAAATGATTAGAGAGATATTAATCTTTTAAATGATTAGAGAGATATTACCAACACTGTACACTGGCATTCAACAAAATGATAAGCATTGCTCCCTCCTCTCAGCAGAGTCAAACAACAAAGAGACTACAAACGAACAAACATGATGACATTTTGAAAAAGAAGAGAAAAATGAGAGATTCAGATTGTTGAGGGAAGCAGGTGGAGGAGAAATAAACTAAATTTTGAACTTAAAAGCTATTCTCACGGAAAAAACAGTTTAAGTAACTCGCAGAGCTTTTGAATTCAACAAACCCAAAATGAAAGACTGGCTAAAATGACTTTCCAATTTACAGAGCCATGCACATATATCACAACCATAAACCATTTAACTTGAAGCCCATAATATGTTATGCAAGGCACAATACAACACCCCTACTCACAAGGGAGGAGCCAAGAAACAAAGAGGGCAATTGCCCCCTCCCCCATCCTAGATTAAAGAACTTATATGAAAATGTTGAGATTTTAAAGTTTTATCTCTAATTTGTCTTCAAAATTTATGGCTTCGCCCCTGCCTACTCATAGACCTTAAGCCCTTCAACTACAAAGTAAGTGAAATATGTAGACAAGTATCAACATGCAATGCCTATCCTATTGGTGAAATCAACCATTGGCATATGTAATGTGGCCCGACATGACCATTTTCTAAACCCCACACTTAATCTCTCTCCTGCTCGCACAAAACCCCATTTCCAAACTAGCCAAAGGAAACAGTGACATGCGCTTGAACGAATAGGCAAGGAGAATTCATTAGAAAACAAACAAAAAAAACCCCAAGCAAGAGAATCCAAAAGATCTCACCATTTCAACATTAATTCAGTGGAGCAGTCAGCAAAGCGACAATGTTTTCCGTTAAAACGAGGTGGCAGAGAGCTGCGGACAAATGCACCACGAAGATCAAAAACTAATTGATTCAATAGGGTTAGAAATAAGCGAAAACGCAATGGCTCTCAGACAAGAGTCGAGTAAGTTTGGAGTGAACAGTCGAAATTGAAAGAGTTTCTTCCTAAATCTTTACCGTCTCTCTTCTCCAGAAATTTAGAAGCGAAAAGGGAGGTTCTGAGTGCGCAGTTCAAGTTGTGTTCTCTCCTTTGGCTGCCTCTCTGCACCGCAACTTCGACACATCTCAAGAGTTCACTGCCATGGCAGACCTTCCAAAAATAGTGCGATCAAGTACGAACCGACTAACACATCCAAACACGGAATAGGGATGAAATGGACGAGAAATTTTAAAAAATTGGAATCAGAAACCGATTTTTTTATTTTGTTCACGGGTGGAATAAGAATTACGGGAAATTGGACGGAATAACATTATCTCATGTCTTTTATGTTATTTAATTGCCATTTTGAAACCCATGTTTTCTAAATATATTTGCTGAGATCACCCAATTACCAATATAGTTTCACTATCCCTCTATTTATATAATACATTTTCTCTCCGTCCTCTCTCTCATCTATCCCTTTTCTCCTCTAATTTTTTCTCTACACCATCTCCCTTCTTTTTCTCTTTTCTTTTAGCTGGGGATTTACCAAACATCTCTCATATTTTTTGTTTGAATCTTCCATCCTATTCTCTTTTTCGTTTGAGTTTTACGGGAAAAAACACTCCTTTGAAATCTTCCATAAAAAAAAAATATATATTCATTTCAGATCTTCCATCGCTTCAGAAGAAATTTCAGATCTCGCTCTTCGTTGCTCTCCCTCTTTGGACATTGTTTTTTTTTCTCTCACGTAATGATAGGGGGAAAATAATTAAATTTGAAATTTGAAATTCAATTATAATTAAAAATTGTGATAGATTAAATGAGATTTAAGAAAATTGAGGAGAAATTTAAGGAAACAAATTTAGATTAAATTTTAAATTTGAATACCAAATGACTAAAACGAATGAGTGTTTCTTTGAATTTCAATTTTCAAATTTTTAATTAAAAAAATCTTTAATCTCTAATTATTTGTTAATTCATTTTAAATTAATTTAGATAACATTTTATCTCAACTTTCTCTCACTCACTCAACTTTCTCTCTCTCGTTCAACTTTCTCTCTCTCGCTTAACTTTCTCACTCTCTCTCGCTCAACTTTCTCTCTCTCTTTATCTCCTTCCTCATCCACATCTCCATGGTTAGGCTGAACTTTCTATTTCCCTGAACTTCCTTCTTTAGCAAATGACCTCCCTCATCAATTTTGATGCACCCATTGCTGGCGATTGTTGAAAGTCACCAGAATCATGGAGACTGCTCGTTAAAAAGAAAAGAAAAAAAAATAGAAGGTCGAGAGATTTAGGGTTTTTTAGAGTAAAGAAGAAGGGAACGAGAAACCGAAGAAAATTTTAGAGAGGATGAGAGAAAAAAAACCCACGGCAGAAGAGAAAAAGAATGGGTTAATGAAAAATGATAGAAGAAAAAAAATTAATGGAAAATGAGAGAAGAAAAAAATACTGTAGAAAGAGAGGAAAATAGAGGGAGGGAAAAATATTCTCGAAAAACACGGACGAAGATAGAGAGAGTGTGTGAATAAGAGAGAAATCTAAAAAATTAGTGGAGTGGTAGTGAAAGTAAATTGGCAATTGGGTGATGTTAGCGAACGCTTATAAAACATGGGTTTTGAAAATGGTGATTAAAAAACATAAAAGGCATGGGAGAACGCCTATTTCATCCAATTCTCCGAGAATTAGACCATTATACTTCTTTTAATTAATTATAAATATATTAATTAAATAGTGTGCTAAATTTATTTTAAATATAAAATACATTTTTGTACTTGAGGATAGATTTTTATCTAAGGAATTGAATCCCGCAGTGGAAACTCATAAAATCGATTTTCAACAATAGTACGAACGCCACGTAAGTCTTCCTAGCTATCTTCTGGACAATAACCGTCTTTTGAGAGAGAGAATTTTTTTAGGGATTGTGAGAAAAACTAATTTGAGAGAGTTTTTCAAATTCCAAACCCTTTTCATTTAAGGAAGAGTGAGGAGTGGGGAGAAAATATTTTTTAGTACAATATATGGGGTTATGGGATCGAACTCACAACTTCTTGGTTGGAAATATATGTCAATTACTCCTAAGCTATGCTCCCTTTAGCGGAGTGGGGAGCAGGTTAACTCTCCACCTCACCATAACCTCACTCATTCTATTTTGGGTTATTTAGTTAATTAATTTAATTAAATGAAATAAAAAAACATAATTTAATTATTTAATTAATTATATTTTTGTTTTGACTAAATATCATATATTTAATTATAACTTTATTCAAATGCACATCTCTCTCATAACCTATAGTTTTAATGGAAATCACATGCACATTAATTTTAACCTATAGTTTTAATATTAAGCCAATTCATATTACATTTTATTTGAATCTTATTCAAATAAGTATCTCATAACAATGAAGTATTAATTTCGAATCCTTATTCAAAATTAATTAGATAACGTATCAATACATACATTATATAAATGGTGTATACGTTATATATATTCTCTTATTAAATTTGTGATGGGATGTGAATCCCGGAGTGGAAACGGATCTTCGTTCATGATTTTTTGAGAAAACAAAAATAAAGGTGTGAAGAAGAAAATACAGGGGAAACTTATTTTTCCTTACCTTTGAAGAACTCTTCTTCAATGATTCAATCTCCCGAACAACACCAAATGATCTTTYGTGCTATCCTCTGGGTATCGAGATTAGGCTTGTGGGATCAATACGTTTGGAATCTCAAGGAGAATTCAAAGAGAGAGCTTGATTGAGAGAAATGTTAATTTTCCAGGAAAAAGTAGAACTGTACAGAACTCTTCTGTATAGTTTAACCAAATGTGACGTAAGGTAACTCCCCACGTCACAACTTCCCACTCCCCTGCAATTTTGCAGGAGAGTTTTTAATTAATTAACATAATAATTAATTAATTATTTATTTATTTATTAATCAATTTAATTATTAATTATTAATCTAATTAATAATTAATTAATTTAATCTAATGTTAATTAAATAAATAATTAACAATTAATTATTTAAAAATAAATATCACATATTTAACTAAACTCATATATTTGAATCTTATTCAAATACAACTCTCTCGTATAACCTATAGTCGTAATGTACATCTTATGTACATTATTTTTAACCTATAGTTTAAATATGAATCTCATTCATATTAAAACTCTCATAATATATAGTTTTAATTTATAATTAACTATATATTATAATGTATCAATATACATATAATCCCTTAAGTAATTTGAATAGTTCAAATTCTTCCAAAAATTTTATCCTCGTTTTACCTGTTATGATTTAGAAAGGGGACCTAATGGACCTACAGACCAGAAGCTCCAACAATGCGAGATTAATCGGTCAAACTCATTGACCAAGTTAATCAACATTCGTTAACTACGGGTCACTCCACTAAAGACCTGCAGTTGCATTCTTCTCACTACAGAATGTTTTCGTATCCATGGATATACGACCATCAATGACAAGTCAATCCTTTACGAGTGCTTTAACTCAAGTTGGGTTAAATTACCGTTTTACCCCTGAGTTACATCTTACTCTTTAAATACCACTACTCCTCTAATGAACAACCCGGTTATGGTCCGACCAATAACCAGAAGTCCCTCTCGGGCCAATGACAGGATGAGGCCCCTTGTTCAAGTCCCGGAGTCAGCATTTAAGAGAACACTCATCTACTCCCCTAAAGTCGGGGAGGAGTGAATTCCATCTTGTGAAGTTATGTTTCCAACTCCCCACTCGGTCTCGTCCCCAAAATGGTAGGAATATTGAGTCAGCAACTCGGGCCGCTCTCACCCATACATATTAAAGGATGAGCCCTCACGGGCAGGAGTCCATAACTCACTCAGGATTGAGAATGAGTTGTTTGGTCATCCTATAAATAGCAATCTGTTAGTCAACGGTGTTACATCTAAAGATTGGCTATTTCACAGTCCGGTCTTATACAAACTCATTGTATAGGATACCCTCACTCGCATGTCTCCACATGAATGACCTGGATCGAGTCGTCTGTAACATTTACAAAGTGAGCCGTATTCATAGTGTTGCCAAGATAAGGTACCCAGCCTTATCCATATACTATAGACCCTTCAGGTTATTCATGGGACATTATCCACTCGTATATCAGGAGTATATCAAATATATACCTCGTATATCAGAGGTATATTAAATATATACCTCATATATCAAATATATACCTAGTATATATACTGTCCCGTTTACATTAAAATAACCTTGGATGTTTAGTTTATTGGATTTTGGACAATGCAATGCTATGAATTTAACAACAAATTTATTGAAATAAACTTTATTGAATATACATTTATTTTTCATAAATACAAACTACGAGTTTAGCACAACACACCCAACAATTTGAACATTTCAAATGCTTACTCCTCGGTTTACACATTGTTAGCTAGAAAGGAGGCCTAATGGATCTACAGATTAAAAGCTCCAACAATACGAGATTAATTAATTAAACTCAATAATCAACATTCATTAATTGTTGGTCACTCCACTAAAGACCCACAACTGCATTCTTCGCACTGTAGAATATTTTGCATCCACGGATATCGACCATTAACAGTAAGTAAATCCTTCACGAGTATTCGTAACTTCAGTTGGGTCAAATTACCGTTCTACCCCTAAGTTACATCTTTCACCTTAAGTACCACTGATCCTCTAATGAACAACATGTTTATGGTCTGACCATTAAACAAAAGTCTCTCTCGGGCCAGTGAGAGGTTGGAGCCCCTTGTTCAAGTCTTGGAGTCAACACTTAAGAGAACACTCATCTACTTACCCTAACGTCGGGAATGAGTGAATTTCATATTGTGTAGTTATGTTCCCAACTCCCCACTCGCTCTCGTCCCCAAAATGGTAGGAATATTGAGTCGGCGACTCATTGGAGTTTCGGAAACTCAACAATCAAGAATCGGGGGCCTCAAGAAAAGGGGAGAACCCTTCCTTTTTATAAGGGAAGAAGAGTGGGGGAAGAGTTACAACTTTTTTACTCACCAATGGGGACGAGAGCGAGTGGGGAGTTGGGAACATAACTACACAAGATGAAATTCACTCTTTCTCGACTTTAGGGTAAGTAGATAAGTGTTCTCTTAAGTGTCGACTCCGGCCTTACCCTCTCATTGGCCCGAGAGAGACTTCCGGTTATTGGTCTGACCATAACTGGGTTGTTCATTAGAGGATCAACGGTACTTAAGGTACAAGATGTAATAGACGGGTAAAATAGTAATTTGATTCAACTGTGGTTGTGGACACTTGTGAAGGATTGACTTGCCATTAATGG